GCGTATCACAAAGCTCTTTAGGAAAAGACAGAGGAGTTTGGAACTGCAGAAGGGACACACAGCCTTGCAATTCCCCCCAAAGAACAGCTCTGAGATCTGCCTGGGGACTTTACCTCCTTCACAATAGCACTGATGAGCCGCCGGGCCAGGACGATGGTTGTCACCGTCAGCACGTTGAAGTCAATAAGGTGAAAGTTCTGTGGAGACAAAACCAAAATGATCCCGTTCCCATGAGGCAGCAGAAACCCACATTCAACAGAGAAACTTCCAAATTATCCTCTTCTCTTTGGACTCTCTTCCAAGATTGGAGAGAGAATGACAAGCAGGCAGCCAGCACCCAAAACTTGGCAAAGTAAAGAGTTGCAGAGTCACGTGTAGTTTACATTAAATATAAATATATATAAAATGTAATGTTTAACGACCCCAGAGACATCCTGGGAGTATCATCTGTCCTCTGGTGCTTACCAGTGATGTGTGGGAGGGAGGGTGGGAGGGTGGGTACCACCACACCGTCTTGTAGATGTTGATGTAGTGGACAAAGAGAGCGACGAGGTGACAGAAGAAGAGCTGGAGCTCGAACAGGACACTCCTCTCCACAGGCAGCTCTGGGATCTTACAGTGCCTCAGGGGGACCACTGTCTGTGCTGCCAAAGGGGGGCTGGAAAGGCCTGTACCTGAGCCACTCCTGCCAAGGGAAGCCAAGAGTCAGGAATGAAGAGGGCAGTGTCCTCCTGCCCACCCACCCAGGCTGTACAAGGACTAACACTGACTGAGAAACCCAAGCTAACCATCAGTGGCTGCCACAAAACAGAAGTGTCAGCACCCCAAAGACGTCCAGGATGACTCTGGCAGGCAGATGTGAGCAGGAATTTGCCCAGAGAAAGCAAAACTTGGAACCAGGCCAGCCTACAGCACCAGGTCACTTGATATTAAATCCCCTGTGTTGAGCCAGGTTCAAACCCAGGGCTGTGCTGTGCTACTCAAGGGACAACCAGTGACTCCCTTAATTAATTGGAACCTTTCAGACCTCAAGTTGCTATTTACATATCTAAGAGTGCTTGAACATGAAAGACAGAGCAATTACACACAAGCCCTTGTTCATTCTTCACCTTCTATTCACCTGAGGAGGAAAAACGAGTTTAGCCAGAGGTGTGTGTTCCTGTGTGAGCACGCACAGGATCCCAGACAGATCCTTTAATCGAGGGGAATTAAGATACACCAGATATATCTCTCCTGATTTGCAGTCTCTAAATAACAACAGGCGAAGGAATCTGGGTGTGGGTTTCAAAGAAACTGCAGAGCACAAACTCCCATTGAAAATCCCAAAATGAAACCACAGGTGTGGCTGCAGGAAGGCTGCTGATCCTGGGGGACGCAGCTGGATCAGTCCAGGGTTTAAAACAGCAGGGCTGACAGCTTAAAATGAGGGGGAAATCTTAGGAGATGTCTCTCTGAAATGACCAGATTCCCAAGGTGAAAGAGGTTCAGCTCCTCAGGATTGATTAAACTGTGGAATCACAGAATGGCCGGGGTTGGAAAGGACCTTAAAACCCATCCAGTCCCACCCCCTGCCCTGGGAAGGGACACCTCCCACTAGAGCAGTCAAGCCCCAGCCCCATAAGCAGGAGGTGCCTTATGAACCCTGCAAAGCAAATGTTAAATCTGTCTAAACACACTCCCTGCTGAGGGCCCTGGGCCAGGAAAATCACAGGGATACAGTTATCCAGGCAAGTCATTGCAAGGCCACAGGCAGAGCAATCCAGCTTTGCTGGGAGAGCACACACAGCTCCTTATCACAGGTGGGGAATGCACAAGCCCACACCCCAGCTCATCCCCAAGGAATCTGGGCTTTTCAGGAGGGTATGGAGTGACAGGGCAAGGGGGAATGGCTTCCCACTGCCAGAGGGCAGGGTTAGATGGGACAGTGGGGAGAAATTCCCCCCTGGGAGGGTGGGGAGGGGCTGGAATGGATTTCCCAGAGCAACTGTGGCTGGCCCATCCCTGGGAGTGTCCAAGGCCAGGTTGGAGCAACGTGGGACAGGGGAAGGTGCCCCTGCCCATGGCAGGGGGTGGGACTGGATGGGCTTTAAGGTTGGAAAAGCTCTCCGAGATGGTTAAGTCCAATCTTGTGCCCCCAAGCCCATCAAACCCTCTCACAAAGCTCCACATCCACTCGTTTTAACACTCCCAGGGATGATCTGAACACCACAGGGATGGTTTGGACACTCCCAGGGATGGTTTGGACACTCCAGGGATGGACTGGACACCCCAGGGATGGACTGGACACCCCCAGGGATGGTTTGGACACTCCAGGGATGGACTGGACACCCCCAGGGATGGGGACTCCCCCACTTCCCTGGGCAGCCCCTTCCAAGGCCTGACCACCCTTTCTGTGAGGAATTTTTTCCTGTTATCCAGCCTCACCCTCCCAGGCGACAGGACAAGGGATGAACGACTTCAAACCGCAAGAAGGGAGATCAGGGTGGGACACTGGGAAGAAACTGCTCCCCCGTGAGGGTGGGGAGGCCCCAGCACAGGTTACCCAGGGAAGCCGTGGCAGGGAGTGGGAACGGGATGAGCTTCAAGATCCCTCCCAGTGCAACCCACGCCAGGTGGCTGCAGGGGGGAGCAGAGCCTGGCTGGCTGTGGCTCTGGGGGCCCGTACCTGGTCCGGGAGCGCACGCCTGTGACGGAGGAGCCCGAGGAGTGTGCGGAGCCGCCGGCAGCTCCGGGCTCACACAGCGGGTTCCGGCAGTAGGAGGTTCTGTTGGGACCTCGCCGGCCCCCGGCCATTCCCGAGCCGTGGGAGCTGCTCACTGCGGGATCGCTCCAGGCCCCACCACTGCAAGCAGAGACGGATTGTTGATTAGGGATGGTTGATCATTCCGGGCTCATCCGTCGCCGCCACTGCCATGGCAGGATAACCCGATTCCCAAGCCTGTTCCTTGCCTCCTGCATTTCCCCAGGCTGTGGATGAGGGCTTGTTGAGGTGCTGGGAATTCATGGAGAGTCCGTGTGTGGAGGCTTCCATGGAGCTCTTCCTGCCTCTCTCCCAACCCAAGTTTACAAGGAATTTGATCAGCATCCCTGTGGTGTTATCCCTGTGCCACAGGCAGGGCAGAGACTCAAGAATTCCCCAAAAGGAATTCAGGGGGTTAGGGATATCAGAGGCACCCAGAGATGCTCAGGAATTCCCCTGAAGGATCCAGGGAATTAGGGATATTAGAGACACCTAGAGATGCTCAAGAATTCCCCCAAAGGACCCAGGAAATTAGGGATATCAGAGGCACCCAGAGATGCTCAAGAATTCCCCCAAAGGATCCTGGGGATTAAGGATATTACCTGGGTCCTCTTTGCCCAATTTTGTGCTGAAATTGAAGATTACAACTTTTTCTTTTTTTTTCCCCAAGGAATTACAGACTGGCTTTTTCCTTTTTGGCTCCTTAGAACTGGGAAAAAGAACCCATTTTTAGGGCATTCGTTGTTTTATGTTTGCATGGCACTGAGGCCAATGGGGTATCAGCCCAAATTTAGCTTTTCCAGGGATGTTTGGCACAGTGTAAACCATAACACTAATCCCAAGGTTTTTAAACCTTCCCTGGATCCTGCTTAAACCTCAGGAGACCCTACACAACTTCAGAGAAAGGAGAAGGTGATAAAACCCCCATTTACAAGTGAAATCTGAGCTGTGAGGAAACTCAGGTCACACCAGTTACTGAACATTCCTTTTCCTGGTGGTGGATAATTTCCAGTTTGCACCACTTGGAGTAAAAAAAAACTTGCTGAGGGTTTAGAGACTGTTCTTAAAGAAGTTTTAAAGCTGGAGCTGAGCTCAGGACTCCTAGTGCTGGACAGTGGGGGACACCTGGGAAGCGTCGGGATGCAGTTTTTGGGGGGTGCAGGAGCTCTGGGAGCTCCCTGGAAGCTCTGAGGGAGCAGTGGAGGCTGTGAGGGCACAGACGGGGGGGTTCCAGGTCTGCAGGAGGGCAGGAAGGAGCCACAGAGGCTCCAGGGGAAAAATGTGGGGGCACAAGGAGGGCTAAAGAAGAGCAGTGGGGGCCAAGGGGGGCCTGGGGGAGCAATAGGGGCTGAAGAGGAAATGTGGGGGCACAAGTGGGGGTTGTAGAAGAGCTGAGGGGGCCACTGGGGGCTCTGGGGGGGCAACGGGGGCTATCAGGGGGAAATCTGGGGGTGCAAGTGGGGACTGCAAGAGAACAGTGGCCAACACAGGGGGTCTGGGGGAGCGTAAGAGGGAAATGTGGGGGTACAAGTGGGGTCTAAAGAAGAGCTGAGGGGGTCAAGGGGGCTCTGGGGAAGCAACAGGAGCAGTCAGGGGGTGATGGGAGCTCTGAGCGCCCGGGAGGTCCGGCTGGGGCAGCACCGGGACCCTCCAGGGAGCCCGGGGGTGGCCCTGCAGCCTCTACTGGGGCACACAGGACCTGCATTAAGGACTCCGGAGGGAGGTGAGGGGTCCATGAGCACGCCCCGAGGCTGCTGCGGGGCTCTGGAGGGGCTCCGGGCGAGGCCGCGCCCCCCCTGAGCGCGGCGCGGTCGGGGCGGGGCGAGCCGCGGGGCTGCGCCGCGCCCCGCCCGGCGCACGGGCCGTCCCCGCGGCTGCCGGCGGGGCTCCCCCCGCCCGCTCCCGGCCCGGTCCCGGGGCCCCCTCCCCTGTCCCCCCTCACCCATCGCCGCCGCCGCTCCGCCTGTGCCGGCCACAATATGGCGGGCGGGCCGCGACGGCGGCCGGCGCGGGACAAGCTTCGGCGGGGCGCGAACGCCACTGGCCACGCCCCCGACCCGCTTGGACACGCCCAGCGAGTACTTGGACACGCCCACATCCCGCTCGGTCACGCCCAAAGCCACGCCCTCTCCAGGCCGAGGTCGCCTCTGGGTCCCAGCGCCCACCCGTGTGTTCCCCCCACACCCCCCCCCATAGGGGACAGACCCCCCCAAAACACACCCCGTCGAAACCAGTGAAACAACCGCTGAAAGCCAAAACATATTCATCGTCAGGACTTTATTACACGGAATGAGGGATCACTTCCAAACACAAGAGTTGTAGGATCGTGGAATAGCTGGAGCAGAAAGCCCAGTGCTCCTCGGTGGAGGAGCTTGCCAGGCTGCCATCCAACTTATTGGTGCAGGAGCTCACCAGGCTCCCATCCAAGCTATTTTCGTGCTGTGATTCACCTTGATCATTTTTCAGCATCTTTATCACCCGCTCACAGCGTTTTTTTTCTCAATGATCTCCTCCACTTGTGGGCGTTGGTGCTTCGGCACAGATGGAGCATTTTACAACACTGAGAACCAGCTGGAGGCAAAAATCTCTGAAATTAATGGACTTCCACAGGCCCAGGGTTTAGTTCTTTACTGGCTTTGGAAGGGGCTGCCCAGGGAGGTGGTGCAGTTCCCATCCCTGGAGCTGTCCAAGGAATGACTGGACGTGGCACTCAGTGCTCTGGGCTGGGTGACGAGGTGGTCACAGGTTGGACTCGATGGTCTTGGAGGTCCTTCCCAACCTCAATGTGCAAAGCCATCAAAACCCAGGAGTATCCAGACATCTGTGGTTTAACAGAGTCTTCCAGGAACAACTATAAAGGTAACAGGACGTACCAACATCAGGTTAAAAACATTTTCAGGTTAAAATATATCAGGTTTGCAACTACAACACGACGTATTGAAGCTTTTTGGTCATACCTAGTTCCAAATTCAGTGGTAAAAGTAACAGCTTCAGCAGAAAACACTTTATATTTCAGTGTTCCAACACACAGCTGCTGCTCTCGTGGGATCCAAGGGAGGCTCCAGTGTTCTCCAACACTCCCCAAGATCTGGCAGGTTCCTATTTCCCAGGGAAGTGTCTTAACTGTGCTCCTTGATCAGCTCTGAAAGCAGCTCCCTGGAGACTCATCCCTCCTTGCAAAAGGAGCAAAAGGAGCGTGGAAACAAACATTCCCATTAAAACATATGGCAGCAGTGGAAGGCTCAGCTGAGCAGCAACAGCAAAGGTTTGTGTTCTGTGCTCACAGAACGGAGCTTCCCAGGGAGAAAATGAGGAATAACATCTCCACTGGGATGGGAGTCCCTGGATAACCTGCAGGAATTCCTCCCCCTCATAGCTGATGAACGGGACACGTGTCCAATGTCTCATCCAACATGTTACAGGTTTATCAATTAAGGAAGAATTTCCCTAAGCCCCGTTTTCCTCCCCAAAAGCTCCGGATGTGCTCGTTCCCAGGGAAGCCTGTTCTCCTCTGCAGCTCCCAGCAGACACATCCCAGCTGGTCCCTCCTCCTCTGGGGCCGCTCAGAGGGTCCATCCAAGCTGCAGGAATCACCCTCAGCCCAAGTGTTCTCCAGGAGAGCAGCAGGATGGGTTAAGGAAGGGAAAATGAACACTTGAACTGTTTTTCTTGGCTCTGCTCGCGACAGATGCTCTCATACAAATTTAAAAGCTCGTCCTGTACGAAAAGAATCATCTGCTGCAAGTGCTGGACAGGGAATCCAGCTGTGCTCGTAAACCCAGCTTATCCAAGACGGAATTTTGGAGGGACATATCGAGGTAAAGGGTTAAACCACAGTGCTTTCAGAGAGGCTGAGTTAGACACAAAATACCACAGAGGGTGTGGAATTCCCATCTTGGAGGTGTCCAAGGCCAAGTTGGACAGGGGTTGGAGCAATCTGGTCCAGTGGAAGGTGTCCCTGCCCATGGCAGAGGCTGGAACTGGACGGGCTTTAAGGTCCCTTCCCACCCAAACCATTCCATGAATCTATATTTCCATATAACAAAGCTCAAAGCCATTTGCTTTATTTAACAACCCAAACAGCAACTTGAAACCAGGGCTGAGGAATGGGCAGGGGATGAAAGTCTCCTTCCAGGGAAAGCTGCCGGGGGTTTTTCTGGAATTCCAGCTTGGTTTCACTCTCCTGTGGCTGCCCAGGATCCCACAAAGCACTCAACCTCCCTGAGGGTGTAAAACCCGGGTCTGTGCCAGCTCCAGGCACAGCCAGGCTGAGTAGTTATACCCAAGAGGCTGGAGAAGCTGTGACCACGCAGGGAAAGGGGCAGGGAAGGTGGGAATGCTGCGTGTTCTGCAGCAGGAGGATGCTCCTGGAGCCAAAATCTCTTAACAAGAACGGTTTTTGTTGGGAAAAGCTTCCCCAGAGGAGAGGTCCCAGCTGCTGCACATCCCCCTGCACAGAGCCAGGCACGACAGGGCCTTCACCTGCTTTATGGCCTTCACCAAAACCCTACAAATAATAAGGTGAGGATTAGTCCTTTGGGAAAACTGGGAGATGAGAGATCCCTGGCACTTGTGAGGTCACAGCCAGCTAATTCCACCTCCAGCAGCCACCTGCCAGTAGGAAAGGGAAGGTTATTCAGGTTATTTAGGTGACTCAGACTCAAAGGAATCTCTATCCCTCACAAATTCCTGCATCACCCCCGGAATGTCTGGCTAATTAGAGCATCTTTGAGAGACACATCCTATGCTGAGGGTTATTTTGGGATCTCCAATTAGCTCTTGCAGACTCCAGGCTAAAATCTGACTGGAGCAGTGCTGTGAGAGGGAGGGAACGTCTGATCCAGGGCATGTTTGCAAAATACTTGTAGCATATACAGCTATTTCAATATATTAATATTTACAGTCTGCCACAACATTTAAGTCTTCCCCATAAACATGCAACAAAGGCAAGGCACGAGCTGGATCCCTCCAGAGGCAGCGTCACAAGATCCCCTTCTACAGGTAAAAAAAAAAACCCTGCATCATAATAGATGATCTCTATCAAATCTTTTCCACTTGATATAAAAGCTGTGCCTATTAAGAAAGAAACGGGAAAGATTGGTACATGGCCAGAGAAACTGATGTTCCAATTACATTGTAAATGAAGATGAATTTGATAACCAGGCCACAAATCCAGACACGTTATCGTTCCCCCTGGCAGGATCCAATTTTCAAGTGGAAGAATTCAGGGTAATCTCCCTGTTGCAGCATTTCCACACATTACCTCTTCCTCGTCCCTAATGCTCCTCGGATAAGAGAAGCTCGTTTGGGAGCTTTACAATTCCATGTAAAATTAGACTTGTGTCCTTTTATGTCCTGTGCCCAGGTTGCCTTTTGAAGCTGTTGGGCTTGTTCAGCACTGCAAGGGTTTATTTCTTTGTTCTTTTATTTATGGAGATCAGACTTTCAGCGGTCTCAGGGTTTGAGAGGAAGCATTTAGCTGTTCCCAAAAGCCTTGGGATGCTGCCCTGGGGGAGAAATGTGTCCTTGCTGCCTAAGCAGGTCACTCCACTGATGTGTGATCACCTCCCACTCGTTTGCAACCACTTGCATCCATTTATAAAAGCAATTTATTAGAGAAGCATGGCCTATTCCCCATCCCTGGAATGTTCCAGGCCAGGTTGGACGGGGCTTGGAGCAACCTGGTCTATTGGAAGATGTCCCTTCCCATGGCAGGGGGTGGAATGAGATGGGCTTTAAGCTCCCTTCCTACCAAAACCATTCTGGGATTCCAAGAGATGTGTCCCAGGATCCCTGATGGAGATCTCTGGCTACGCCAGCGGACAGAAATCCTTAAAAACTGACCAGCCAGCAGCCAGATCCCCTTTGATCCCACTGATGGGGGCCAGAAGGTGTAGAACTGGCAAGGTCTGGCTGGGTTTAAAATCTGCAGCCTGTAATTTTAATGCCTCATGGACTCCCACAGGAATTCCCACCGAGCCATTCCTTCAGCTGCTCTGCTCCTGCAGCATCGGGTGACAAATCCCAGGGCACTGGGAACCAGATGATCTTTAAGGCCCCTTCCAACCCAAACCAGCCTGTGATCCCATGAAATCCAACACCACCAGGAAGCAGCAGCTCCAAGAGATGGACCTCATCACATTTTCCCCCCCCCCTAAATCCACTGAAAACCTCTTTCCCTCCGGCTCCCCGGCTGGTACAATTCTGGAGCCTCCTCCACACCGTGACCTCTGCGAGAGCATCAGAGCCAGCCAGCTTTCCCTTTTTTTATTTGTGGGGATGTGGTTTTAACAGCTCAGATGGTGCCACCCCCACACTGTAAAAACACACACACACACACAGACTCACCCCCGTGGGCGCTGCCCCTGCTCCTCCTCACCCCCCGGCTCCGAGAACTCTCCGCTCCTGCAAATCAAAGACAATTTTCGTGAGGCCCCTCAATGGAAGCACAAATCCCACCCTCCCTCCCTCCCTCCAAAAAAAACCAAACAAAAAAAAAAAAAAAAAAAGAAGAAAGGGAAAAAGAAAAAAAAGATTCCCACATGCAATTATTAGACATGAAGGAAAACATGCAACTTCAGCTGAGCTGTGGACGTTTCACAGGGAAACAGCAATACTGGGGCGGGGGGGGGAGGGAGGCTAAAAAGTTTACATTTTTAAACAACTGAGCGGAATTTGGGGGTTTGTTGTGGTTTTTTTTTTTGGCAGTAGCAGGAACTAACTAGGTTCGTTTTCGTTTTACATCCTTGGATATTTAAATATTCCTCTTTGCCCACATTCCGCCGGAGTGCATTTATTTTTTATCTCCGAGGGCACGTTTATTAAAGTTATATCTCTAATTTATGCAGAAAAAAAAAATAAAATATGGGTTGTTTTAAAACGTTTTTATTTTAAACATTTTTTTTCTTTTTTTTTTTTTGCGAGTTGCCTTTTTTTTTTTTTTTTACATTAAAATTAAAACATCTCAAGGCTTGGCTGGATAAAAAAAGTTTACGTCACGGGTTTATGGAAAAGAGAAATGCGCTGTTAAAATCAGACATTTAGGTTACCTTTTGGGCGATGCATGTTAGCTTTACACATCCTGATTGATTCTCCTGCGATAATTTTCCTTTAAAAGGGGGGTAATGGGCAGATCTTTTCATCAAGCAACACATTATGCCCTGAAAGCTGACTCCAAACCAGTGTTGAAAATTCGGTTATTTGCACTTTAATAACAATCTACAAATACAAGTTTGTGGTTTTTTGTTGTGGTTTTTTTTTTTTTTTTTTTTTTTTTTTTAAAGTATTCCCCTCGTTCATGCGCTGCCACAGTTTTGCTCCCTAATATTCTTATTTTTCACCCCCGAGCAGTTTAATTCTCTCCCCTTAAAGAGTTCCAAATTCGTCTGGGAGATGGGAAACACAAACCATTTTTTTCATGTCTCTTTAAGAAGCATTTAGTTTTAAATATATATATATATATATTATATATCTCTGTACATCCACACCCTCTCAGAAGGATTTAAGGAGCAGCTGCAGCACCGTTCTCCAACAAAAATACATTTTTAAAGTGGTTTTTCCAAGTAAAAGCTACCGTGAAGTAGGAAGGGCATCATCTTAGCCAAGGGGGGGGGTTTTACAGAAAGCAACTTCCTTCTCCTCCTGGTGGCAGCTAAGCCTTGGAATTTTCAGCATTCCTTTTGTCATGCTACTTAAACCAGGGATTTCAGACCCAGGCTGGAGTCTGCAGCCCGGAATATTCTCCAAGGCCACTTGAAATCCGAATCAGTAACTCAGCAAAGAACCATAAAACACTTTCCAAGTCAGATTTCTGCCCCAGTTCAGCTTCAACAACTTCCAGGGGGTGAAAAACAAATTTTGCTTTTTCATATATATATAATTTTTTTTTTTTTTTAAATTTAAGCTCATTCAACGAGCTCAGTAAATTTGTTTTGTTTTTTTTTTTTTGGTGAGAATTACAAAAAAAACCACCATTTTTTTTTTTTTTTTTTAGAATGTCTCCATCGTTTTAAAAAGACAATTATAGCTTTAGCGTTAATTTAAATTTATTTAAAAACAAACAGAACGGAAATAAAATAAAAAAAAAAAAATCGCTACTTTTTATCGCTCAACCAAAACAAATGACAATTCATCACATTTACTTTGATTAAAAAAGGACTAAACTTTATTGACAAATTGCGACAGACATTTTGACACGTTTTTAGCTACCTAGTTAGGCAGACTTACACATGTAGCAGTTTCTCTTCCAGAACAGAGTGGGAGGACAGTGTACAAATCCAATTAGGACTTTATCTTATGTACAAAGTGAAATTTTTGATCATTTTGTTGTTTTTTGTTTTTTTTTCCCAGCTGCAGTGTCCCTTTTTATGCAAAGCTCGTGCTGAGATACACTTGAACAAGTCGATGGGACTGCTAATATTGACATTTTTTCTTTTTTTTTTTAAACTTGCACTGGATTATCTGCCCCAAGCACTATAAAAAATGAGAATTTTACAGAGTTCAGACCTACCCATGGAATATTCTGCTTTCTACTATCAAACACTGGGCAATTAGAGCCATGCTTTGTTTTTTTTTCCCTTAAAATTGTTCATCTAGAACCAAACTAAGAACCCCTTTACACTGGAAATATCTGCTTCCCAAGCATATCTCAACACTGCACGGGGGGCTAGATTTCAAAATCCACATAAGAAAAGTCAATTTTACGAACCTAATTTTTCTTTTAGGTCAATTCTCTTTAAAAAAAAATGCTATTTAATTTGTTGGAGGATCCTTCATATTAAAATTTAAACTTCAAGATTCACCAGCAATCTCCTTATAAAGAAGTTTTGGCATCTGAAGTTACTTTTTTTTTTTTTTTTTTTTTTTTTAAAAATGGTGGCAGCTACTACCGTTACATTATGATTTTAATGCTTAAAAATAGCCCTGAATTTTGAAATGTAGCCTACTTTGGGATTCTGCAACTACAACCTTTATGGGTTCCTTTAAAACAAACTTTAAAAAGTTTTAAACAAAAACCTTAATTTCATAGCTGCTAAGCAAAGCATGTCACTTTGGAAAACTAACACTTTTAAACTGTGGTTTTGTAGGTTTTTTTTTGTTTTTTGTTTGTTTTTTTTTCCTAAAAAAAAAAAAAAAAGAAAGGTAAGTTGCGTTTATCTAAACGACAAAGAAAGAAAAAGCCACCTACACACTGAAAAAAAAAAAATAAAAATAAAAATTAAAAGTCGCTTCCTCTAGAAAAAAAAAAAAAAAATCTATTTAACTCATCTTTTAAAAGTACTACGTACAGAAGCCGAAATGCAGGGTGAGGATGGAGTGGGAGAAAAAGGGGCCACGAAGAAAAACAGTTAGACAATTACTTGTCTGGTGTGGGCAAAGCAACGGGAATCCCGGGAGATACAAGAATCAGTAACAACTGTTTTGCTCAAAAGTGGGGTTTTTCCCTCATGTTTTGTGTTTTTTAGTAGCGTCCGTAGGGGTGGTCTCGGTAGGCCCCCTTCACTGGCCTGGCCGGCGGGGCCTTCAGGGAGGGCCGGCTCCCATTCCAGTCATCTTGCCCTGTGGAGAAGACAAGGATACGTCAGGGATGCCCTGGTGGTGCTTCACCCCAGCACCCGACTGGAAAACACCCCCTGCTCCAACAAAATAGTGGATTTACATTGGATTTATTTATATGATTTAGGCTGGAAAACTCCTTTAAGACTGAGCCCAATTAACCCACCACTAAACCTTCCAGAGTTGTGGGAAGGAGCAGGTGCCACAGGGACGTGTCCAGGTGGGTCTGGGATGTCTCCAGAGACTCCAAGCCCTCCCTGGGCAGCTGTTCCAGGCTCTGCCACCTCCATGGAAAGGAATGAGTTCTGCCTCAGGTTGAGGTGGAATTTGGCTGGGTTTTAGTTTATGGCCACTGCTCCTTGTCCTGTCACTGGGCACCACTGAACACTAATTCTGGGACCATCCTCTGACACCCCCTGGAGTTATTGTATGGATTGGTGAGACATTTACATGGATTGATGAGATATTTGTGTGGATTGAGGAGATATTTGTAGGGGTTCATGAGATCCCCTCTCAGCCTTGCCCTCTCCAGACTAACCAGGCCCAGCTCCTACAGTTTCTCCTCATAAGGATCCCCAAAATCTCCTGCAGCTCCAACTTGGACAAACCCGGTGCCTTTCAGGAGTAATTAATTCCAGCAGGGCCAAAGCCAATCCCCAGGGCAGTGTGGCACCAGCTGTGCCAGAGGTTCTGCCAGCATCCCTAATCCCAGGGTTTGGCCATCAGGGACAGCTGCAGGAAGTGCTTCCCTCCTTCCCAGACACCAGGCAAGGCAGATCCCGGGCAGGTGAAAGGTGTCCCTGCCCGTGGTGGGGGTTGGAACGAGATGATCTTTAAGGTCCCTCACGCCCCAAACCATCCCAGGATTCCATGAACCACAACTGAAGCGAATGGAGTTCACATCCCTGTTGTCCCTGAGACAGCTCCAGCCCCAAATATCCCAGCTCAGCTCTCATTAAGGCTTGTGCTTGCAACATCCATCCTCGTGTTCCTGCCAGTCTCTCCAGGGTCACCACTTTATGAAATCAAGAGTCCCACGACAGCCGAGCCTGTTCCTACCACCACGGAGCACATTCCCCTTTTCTCCAAACTGTCTCCAGCCTGGCCCAGTGATTTATTCCTCTAATTCTGTTTTCATGAAAGCAGAGACCAAAGGAAATTGCTGTGGATAAACAGATTAGCCGTGGCAACTTCATGCCAAGTGTACAATGAGCATTTTGGCCTCCCAATCCCGGCCGACTCCGCCGCTCTCCCACCAAGCCGGAGGCACAAAGGGCTCTTTGTGCTGCGTGACAAACACAGGCAACAAACCCAGGCATTGAAGGCAGCAAAGAGCCAACGTTCCTGGGAGCAGCTGTCTGCTCGAATGCAGCCCAGGCTGGAAAACATCCCTGCTCAGGCACCTGAGTTTGAACTTCCCACAGCTTAAACCCGGAGCAGGGAACACCCCGAGGCTGGAGCAGGGTATTAACTCTGCTTCCCTGTTACTGGCATGACAGGGCACAGAGGATTCCCAGTTCCCAGGGATCCCAGAAAGCCCCTCCAGCTGGTCATTAATGTCACTACCTGCATTCACTCAGCTGATGCTCTGGGAAAGGGACTGTTTCCAATCACATGGAATTCCGTGCCTTCACGCTGTGCAGCTTTGGGAACTTATGATGTCATGTGGTCTGGAATATCCCTCTGGTCAGCTGGGTCAGTGTCCTGGCTGTGTGCCCTCCCAGTTTCCCCAGTCCCATGCCAGAGTGGCAGTGCAAGGAGCAGGAAAGGCCCTGGCTGTGTGTGAGCTCTGCTCAGCAACAACAAAACATCTCTGTATCGTCAGCACAAATCCCAAACTCAGCCCCAGAGCAGCCACCAGGAAGAAAATTAACTCTGCCCCAGCCCAAAGCAGCACAGGCTTGTTTAGAGGGAGAGGAAAATGCTTCTTACTCATTGATTGCCACGTGCAGCTGCCATTCCAAACCTGGACATAGGACCTGGCTTAAAAAAGAAATGCAGCCACAGCTGAGGGGAGAACTTCTGCAGTGATGGTGTTTGTCTTCCCAAGGAAGCAAGGAACTAATTCCTTGTTTTACTTTGCTTTTCCCATTGAACTGTCTTTATCTCAACCCACGAGTTCTCCCACTTTTACCCTTCCAGTTCTCTCCCCCACCCCAGGAATGGGGAGTGAGTGAGTGGCTGGTGGGGTTTGGCTGCCCCTTGGGGTTAAGCCACAACAGTTTGGTTCAGTCCAGCCTAAGTCAGTACTTTTACATAATTCAAATTAACTAAATTTCATAAACTACTTGCAAGTCATACTGAGCAAAACTGTTCCAAAGAGAGGCCTTTATGTGACATACAAATCCATTTTCCAAGTTAATGTATAGCACAGACTCAGGATCAGGTAGCGGGTTTTTGAGGATAAGGAAGCAGATGGAGCCATATAAAACACAGTCCATGAAGACCAGACTGCAGCAGTAGTGCTGTGGGTGGAAATCCAGACCTCTTAAAATATTCTAAAGCTACAAGGAAATTAAGATATTTCCATAGTTAAAAAATGGATCTTTTTGAAGTGTCATCTTTGAGACAATCAAGTTTGATAAGGATCTAAACCCACAGAATGTCTTTGCTTGTTCAGATCTAGATACAAATGTTCTACCATAAAAACTACTTGAGGTTCTCCTCAGTTTTTGTTCAGACCCTGGAGTGACACTGGAAAACTGCTGGTTGGCCACAAGCAATTCCCAACTACGTGCAGCCCCTTCCCGGTGAAAGGAACAGTATTCCCAGACATACCATAAGCTTCATAGGTTTCCTGTGCCTCCCCGTGTCCATAATCATAGTATTCTGTGTCCCTGGAAGAGTAATTAGGTGGTTACATCCAGTGAAATCACATTCTCAAACTGACACAGCTTGCACAAACGCTGGACAAGCAGAAGATGCCCAGTGTTGTCCGTGTCATTTCCCAGGCTCTCCTGGACTGCAGCAGAACAGGGCACCTTCTCTACAGCTCAGACCCAGAAATGAGTGTTTGCATTCCCTTAAAATGGAAAAAAAAAAAAAAAAAAGAATAAAGGTCATGCATTATATGTCAGGAAGAGAGAAGCCAACTCACCCTTGGCCCTGGCTGTAGTAGCCCTCATAGCCCTCGTAGCTCTGGTCTGCGTACGTGTCGTCGTAGCCCTGAAAGGGATCGTGACACAAACGTGTTAATGGAAGGACCAAAGGATAATTCCTGGCCAACAGGGATGGCAGGACTGAATTCAGGCTACAGCAGCTCTCAGAGGAGCCTGGAAATCCTTCCCTGCCACAGGGAAGTGGCAGACATGGCTGAGACCTGCTGTGTCCCGTGGTTCGGGAGGAATGAATCATACTAATATTTATAATTCATGGCCAAGGCTGCAGCTCGGCTGAGGGACAAATCCCTGTGCCAGGAGACCTGGAACTGTGTTATTAGGAAAAGGTTCTTCCCCCAGAGGGTGGTTGGGCACTGCCCAGGCTCCCCAGGGCAGTGGGCACAGTCCCAAAGCTGCCAGAGCTCCAGGAGGGTTTGGACAATGCCCTCGGGGACAGGGTGGGATTGTTGGGGTGTCTGTGCAGGGCCAGGGGTTGGACTGGATGGTCCTTGTGGGTCCCTTCCAGCTCAGGACATTCTGTGATATCTAAACCACAGATTTACAATTAGACAAACCCCAACCTCTGAACTTAGGACTGGTTTCAGTGAGAAAAACATTTTACTGGGAAGAGAAGCAAACCTTTTAAGATGTATCAATAATTGTGATGATTCCCCAAAATGCTGTTGTGCTGTTGTTTCTCCTTTGGGACACCAAGAGCACAGATGCCAAGATAAGCTTGGCAGGAGGGTGGTGCTGAGTTATACAACTTGAAACATCCCCCTGTTCATTCACTTATTTGCTTTAAGGATTTTAGTGGACAGAGGAAGCCTTGGGTGCCTCTTGCTTAAAGAATTCTCTTAAGAGAACATTACATGAACTACCCCAATCTCTGACGTAATTTTTCACACCATGCACTGAAAGTCATGGAAAACGTCAGTTCCTGGGGGCACATTTATAAAAAACAACCTTTACTTTGGATTTAAGACACTTGCAGTTCACTTGTTTAAGGGTTAAAGAGGCAGAGAAGGTCATCAAGCACCATCCCAGTGCTCATTGGGGATCCCAGCCCCATCCCAGTGCTCACTGGGGATCCCAGCCCCATCCCAGTGCTCACTGGGGATCCCAGCCCTATCCCAGTGCTCACTGGGGATCCCAGCCCCATCCCAGTGCTCACTGGGGATCCCAGCCCCATCCCAGTGCTTACTGGGGATCCCAGCCCCATCCCAGTGCTCACTGGGGATCCCAGCCCCATCCCAGTGCTCACTGGGGATCCCAGCCCCATCCCAGTGGCCACTGGTGGTCACTTCTCCACAGCAATCTCCTGTCAAGTCACGTGGAATATCTAAGACACATTTAGCTGGAGGTAGAAAACCGAAGACAAATAATTCCTTACATATTCCTCGTAGGCTTCTGGCGCAGGAGGAGGAGGAAGGGGTATCCTCTGGATGCCAGCTGCCCGTGCTCGGGGGGCAGGAGCCCCCCGGACTGCCGGAGGAGGGGGCACCCCCCGGGCTATGGTGGCCCCCCGAGCGATGCCCCCCCGCACTGGGGCCCCTCGCACCAGGGCCCCCCGAGGAGGAGGAGGAGGGGGACCAACCCCACGGCCCCTGGAAGGAGAGAAAGAGGGTTGTGAGCAGCTCCTGCGAGGACACTGAGGCTGCTTCTTCTATCTGCTTTAAAATGCAACAGCTCGGTAACTAAACAGAGCTGTCATCAGCAAAGCCACGAAGGCTTTATCAGCACGAGAATTAACATTGTGCCCTTGCAATATTTGCTAAAACCTCCCCTGGGATGAGAATTCTGCTGCATTCGATGTACAGGCAAAGGAATAAATGCAATACAGGACTTTGGGCGGGTGATTTCTCGGAGTTCACTGACCTGGGATGGCTTCCAGACCTGCAGGTCCGTAAGGATCAGTGATGAGATGAGGGAGGGACACGTCAGGGCTGAACAGGCAGAAGGAAAGACACTACCCCATGAAACAGGGAGTGAAGAAAGAACTATAGTAACAGTTTTATTGCAAATTTATCCCAGAGCCTTGACAGCACTGACAGAATGATGCCATCCCAGAGCTCTCAAACGATGCCAGTTTAATCTGAAAATGCTTGTTCTGCTGAAGGCTGCACAAGATCTGTTTACACACAGTTTCACAGGCCAATTGTTGAAAGGTTGCTTTATAAAACTATTGATTGCAGACATCAAAAATAACACAGAAGACACCCACTGTGTTAGATTACATCTCAAAACATGCAAAACATCGGATGCCAGCGTGCTCCAGGCGAGCCTGCAACACAAGGCTGGAAAAGCCTTGGCCAAAATCCAAGGTCGAGCCCGACAGCTGATGTGCAAGAACAAGCAGTTTAACCTCCTCTGGCAGGATAACTCTGAGCAAAATGCAGCACTTGCAGGTCTGTGCTTTTGGGAAGGATACCTTGGAACGGGTGGAGGTGGTGGTGGAGCTGCTCCCCTTCCCCGCCCGGGGCCTCCTCGGCCGCGGTTCGGCTCTGGGACACCGTTCAGGTAGGACAGCTCCAGGAACTGCTCCTGGCAGATATCATCCATCATATCCTGAAAAAGGGGGGGACAGTCAGTTCCAGAGAACAGCCAACTATCCATGCTGTGCCCTGGGATATCCCAGCCTGCTGTGCTGGAATAAAAATAACTGAACAGTCCTAAATTAAAATCTGCTGGTTGGTTTTACTGGGATTTGCTCAGCAGGTAACAGGGCAGCTTTTCTCCAAAGAAGAAATGCATGCCCAGGAGCTCAGATGAGCACACAGTTGGTCCCTGGGAAGGGGATCTCTCTCACAGGGCTGCTGGAGGTACCTGATGTCACCCAGCCCCATCCCAGTGGCCACTTTTCCACAGCAATCTTACGTCAGTCATGTTGAGTACCTAAGACACAGTCAGCTGGAATTAAAATACCAAACAGATGTAATTCCTTACATGTTCCTTGTAGGTTTCTGGCACAGGAGGAGGAGGATCTGAGGGGATCCAGCCTCAGGAATGAGCTCAGATCCCTAGTGACCCTTGGAAGCCAGGACACCCCACCCCTGAGCCTCACACCCAGGGTCTTCCCAGTGCCACAGCAACACCACAAAGTGAGGAGTCTCCTCCCAGATGTGTCTTCCAAGCCCTGCTGGCTTCCACAGTGACTCCTCTGCCATTTTCCCAAGTTTGACACATGGATTGAAGGCAGGGACAGAGAAGACACTTCAAATAGCAAGGCTGCTTTGGCAGCTCTGCACATCCCAGGGGCTCCTTGAACATGACCTCTTTCCTTCAAAGACACTCCACATCCCAGTCTCTCCTCCTCCCTGTGTCAGACCCAGGAAAACACACACCATCCACATGCCTTTCCCACTGCTCCCATGTTCCACCTGCCCCTGGTACTTCAGGAAGAACTTCCAAGCTCTCCAGGCTCACCACCTGTGGAGCACAGTGACAGGATCTATGAATCCCTCTACGAGGTCTCTGAGTTACAGGCTGGGCTGGCCAGCAGCAGGAACACTGCATGGGTCTTTCCCATTTTTTTCCCCCCCTAATTTAATGAGCAACACTGTGATTTTAAAACATGTGAGAGACTCCTTCAGGTTCTGCCATCCTCAGAGGCAACGCTCCACCACGGTCCTGTTACACACTGGCTTAAAACAGGAATTTGGCCACAAAGGTCTTACAAAGTTCACCTGTAAAACATGTCCCCAAGCAGGTGACAAGTGGCACCTGCATAAAAACATGGTTTACTAAATGATGTTCCTTCACATAATCCACATTTAAAGCAGCAGAAATGCTGATTTAACAGGTGTGCCTCAGAAAACAGTCACCACAACGAATACAGCTCCTGAGCTGCCTGGGCTCACCCTCCTCATCCTCACACCACTGTATTTAAGTTTCTGATCTGACAGTGAAGTTTTCCAGCTGGATTTCTACAGTTCCAAGTCAGAGGAACCCATCTAAGAATTCTCTTCCATGCCAGGCAAGACTAAACTTATTCTCCCACTAAACCTGGCACGTGGAGCTGGACAAGCTGCTCACCCCCAGCATCCACAGCTCGCATTGGGATGGAAATACCTACCCCAAGTGCTCTGTACCACTACCCTGTATGGTTTGTCATTCTAATCATGGTTAGAGGAATAATAAATACCTTCTGCAGGATTAACAGGGTTATTTGAAGCTGCCACTCTATATTCTAGGTTCTCTCAACTACCCCAAGTGAGATTACACTGTGCAGATCTTACCCATCCTGAGCCAGGTTCACCGCCCACCCACCTCCTGCAAAACCAAAAAGAGTGCCAGCATATACATACTGGAACAAGGAATTTCTTGACCTCCTCCATGGCATGAGCCATCAGGGCATAGGCCTCGCAGGGGGGCCCAAAAACCTCGATGAAGACGTGCAAATCCATGTTTAGATGAGCATATTTCGGGTCTCCCCCCTTGCGCAGCTCCTCCTCCTGAAACAGAGCACGGCGAGAGATTCCTGAAGCTGAACCACACACACAGAGAAAAACTGCTTTGCTTTTACCTGTTTTCTGAGCCTTCAACAGGAAATGTCTGCAAAAGCATCTGGACACAGATCATGCAAACAGGCTGTGGATTGATCAGGTTGCTAATGGCAATATTTTTAATTGACCCCCAGCCAATTTTTTTTCCCCAAGATTTATATCCAAGCTTGTTGTTCTTCCTCTTCTACACCACCTTTCTGCCAAGGTGCTCTTTACCACCTCAGGAAGCTCTAATGCCTCAAACAAGATTCTGTAACTCTGTTGTGAGACACTTCTGTCACTCAGACTGTTATTCAGTTATTTAAGAAGCTACAAACAAGCTGGAAGTGTAAAAGCTTTTCATGCAGCTCGAGTAAAACCTGAATTAAGTTACAGCTCTGTTGACTCTTAGCTCAGTTTTTGGAACAAGCAGGAAAAAAAACAAACCCAAACATTCTTTTCATTTTTTTTCTCTGTTATAGAAACACCTCCTGGCACTTTGTGATTCACTAAAGATTACCAGGAACATACTGCTCCAAGATCTTCAATGAACCATGAGAATTCAAGGACTTCAGAGAGAACAGCTAGAAAAAGGATTTCAATTTTTTTATGGAGGGGAAACATATTCCTTCAGTGAAGGACTCTTCAGGGAGTAACTGGGATTAATTCTGATTTTATAAACTTTGTATTTCACGTCTCACATAAGCCATCTCTGCATCCAAGGGTACAGGGCAGCACAAGATGCCTGTTTTTTAAGTCCTCCTCATAAAGAAAATATACATCACACTTCAGCCCCCATCCAATTGCTCCCAACATGCCCAGAACAGTTCCTACTGCTTTGCTTTTGGATTAGAATGGTTTAATCTTTTACAAAATGCTCCCAGAGCCACTGCCTCTCACAGCAGTATGAGAGGAATTGTGTGTGTGCATGTTTTCAAGGTGATGCCCTTACCCTGGCTTTGTCTCTCATTGAGCCCTTCCCCAGCACAGAAATCTTAGCACCAGTTTCTTCCTGAAGTCTCTTAATGGTGTTGCCTTGAGGTCCCAAAATCTTTCCAACAAAGTTGAACTGCAAGTGAATTAAAAAAAAAAAAAAAGGAAACAAATTAGCTCCAGAGTCCAGCAGATTTAACAGAAGCTTTTCTGAATGTCATGTTGGCTGACAAAACAAAAAAATAAAATAATCAGTCACTCCATTTTCTCCTCACCAAAAAATACAGACCAAAAAAAAAATTAAGTTTCAAAACATTCTTTTCATGAAGAAAATGCTCCACCAGAAAAACCAAGCTCAATTAACTCCCCTGAAGTGTTTAATTCTAACATCTACTCTGCAGCAGTTTTACAGGCAGCCAGTCTTAATGAGCTAAATGAGTTTTTTAACTGTAAAACACCAAGCTCTACCCATGGAAGTGCCTATCCCAGCAATAAAATATCCCAGCTGTGCATCACCATTTAAGCTTTATCCCAAGACATTTTAGAAATGCAATATATCAGAAACAAGATCCTGCAAGCCTGCACAGGAAAAATTCCACAGTGAGAGTGGAGCAGAGCATTAACTCCTGCTGACACTCTGACAGCCACTATCTCTCAGTCAGCCACAAAATCCACAGAAAATAAGCAAAGCCCAGAGATTCAGTAGCTATTTTCTGGCCCTCACCTTGGGGTACTGTTTGACAGGTATCAGAACTCGTTCTTTCAGTTTCATATTCTTGTGGGAAAATAAATCCAGGTAGTTTTCTTCCTCCTCCTTCTTTGTTGTTTCACCCTTCTGAATTTTTTCAATTTCTAAACAAGATAAAAATAGGGCTGCTTTTATATTCCTCAAACAAGCATCAGTTCAGAGCTGGAGTGATGACAGGACACACCGCCCTCATTCCCTGTGAATGGATCAACACTTGGAATGGTCTTGATGGAACATGGACAGGTCACCTCTTTAGTGCTGGAATCCCTTCATAGCCTGGGATTCCAGAGGCTAAAAATGGGATAATGGACAAAAATAAGGAGGAACAGCAGGAAATGCCCCACAAATAATTTAACAAATGAGAGAAGGAAACTGCAAGTAGAGTTTTGTGTGTCCCTTCTGCTGTGGCCTGAACACAGCACCCACATGTAGACCCCTAAATGCACAAAGAAACCAGCCCAAATTGCACTAAAACTACACATATTTGCTATAACGCAGCAGAAATCAGCAAATGAGGCAGGTTTTTATCATTCAGGCCGAGCTATTTTAAATCCATTATTTAATTAGTGGTGTCAACACATCCTGACATGATGAATTTCAGTTAAGCTGAAAACAATCCTAATAAACAACAACCCAGTGAGTGAGACAGAGTGTGGTCTGGTTTAGGAAATTCTCACAGCTTCATTTCATTAAATGAATTCACCTTTATCACACAAAGAATTACTAGCTGGGTTTTCAAACCCTCAGCTGAGCAGCCACGAAGGTGAGGGTCAGAAGCTCTTAACTCCATCCAGGCAACACAACTACAAATTTTTTTGCCTTTCAAAACAGGATTTTGATTTTTAATTGTCTGTTGTGAATCACAGGACCTTAAAAACCCACTGAGGTGGCCTGAGGGAAGGCAAGGAATGTTGCAGCCCGAGGGGATCTGGGACAGATCCCAGTAACCTGCTGGAAGTAGGTCGTTAAGGGAGGTCAATTAGGAGCTGGCACAAACACCTTAAACCTGCCTGGAAATTAAACTTTCACTGAGAGGTGGCAGGATGTGACCCACATGGAGGAAATTCAAGATCCTCTTCCAGGGAGGTATTTCTTAGTCATTAATGCACTTTTCCTTCTTACAGGGATAACACCCCAGCACTTTCCAGAAGAAGACAGCCCAGAGCTGCCTGGCTTGTCCTTTCCAGAGATGTCCAGTCGTGGACAATTTCTATTCAAAGGCCAACAACTAAATGAGAAGTTCCCCCAAATCTGGAGCCAATCCAACAATCCCAAATTACTGATGAACCATGAGGAATCCTTTGGTCCAACAAAAAAAACCCCAAACAAACAAAACCAAATTGGTCACATCCAAATCCACCACAAATTATTATTTACAGGTGTTTATCAGGAGCACGACCCTTCCTTAAAAGTTAAATTGTGCCATTTCACCAGCAAACCCAAGGACTAGAAATACATTTTCTGAGTCGAGAGCGCTCTGAGTACTTCTCACATCTCAGGGGAAAGAGACACTTCACAGGATTATACACAGAACTGGAATTGGGCTGCAAAACAAAACCAACACCTGCTTAGTCATTACCAGAATTTCCACAGTGCAGCTGCAGTCTCTCGTATTTCCTGTGATTTCTGTTCACCTCAAACTCTCTGCTTTTGACTAAAGGTTCACATTTACAAGTTTCAGAAGCTCGACACGTGGACTTGATGACCTTGGAGGTGTTTTCCAACCTTAATGATCCTACACCAGATACTCAGCATATTATCCACGTAGGAACATTTTCATATCATCCAAACACGACCAGTGGGTTACCATCACCCTCCCGGACAGGCAACCACCCCATGGGCTGAGAAACAACTTTCAAGTGGTGCAGAGCACAGGAAACCACACGGGCAACCAAAAAAGAAAACAAAAACCCCAAACCCTTATGAAAACATCACCAAATAATCGATATTTTAACTTTTCGGTTCTGGACCCAGAATAATATAAATTTAAATATAAAACTGGCTTTTAGTTTAGAGAGATCTAAATACAGAACCTGGAGACTGTGGGAGAGAGTTAATATTCCAGACACCACGTGGTGTCACGTTCAGTGGATGAAGCTGAGGGAGAAGAAGGATGGGGGGATGTTGGGAGTGATGGCACCTTCCCAAGTCATGGCTGGGTGTGATGGAGCCCTGCTTTCCCAACCACTGGGAAATTGGGAAGTGTGGGATGAATTCCTTGGTTTGCTTTGCTTTTACCCATTGAACTGTTCATCTCAACCCACATTTTCTCACTGTTGCCCTCCCAGTTCTCTCCTCCATCCCAGCAGGGGAGGGGGTGAGTGAGGGCTGAGTGGGGCTTGGTTGTCACCCAGGCTCAAACCAGGACACAGAATCATGACAAAATGCCTGAATTTTTTATCTCTGCTCACAACAGCACCTTGGCTCCCTTACAGAAGTGTTACCATGACTCCTTAGAAAAAAAAAAAAACACCGGATCAAATCGCTTGGAAAAAGATTTCTTGATTTTTGCTCTAAAAAGAAGTGACTTTCTGAAGATAAAATGCAAAAGCATAAAAACCCCTTCAAGTTCACACACTGTCGAATTTATAAAATAAGACAAAGAGCTGCCTTGATTGGTTTTATGTAGGTTTTTTTTAAATTTTAGATATAAGAACACGATGAGAGAATCAAGATTTGAAAACCAAAGGTTTCCCTGGTGAGGGATGACTTAAAACCCTATAGAATTGACTTCTGAAATAATTCAGTTTTCCTAAAACAGTATGTAAACTTCTGAAAATGCATCCTGTACAGAAACAAGAAGTGTTTCCTATAAACACAATAAGAAAAAAAAACACCCTAAAACTTTCTTGATGGAAATTAAACTACCCCGAGGCATCTTCTGGGTTGTTAAACCCTCAGCTATGCAGCCATAAAAAGTGAGGGTCAGAAGCTCTTAACTCGATTCAGGCAATGCAACTACAAATTTTTTTGTCTTTCAAGAATAGGATTTTGATTTTTAGTTGTCTGTTGTGAATTAAGAGAGCCTTAAAAGCCCCCTGAGGTGGCCTGAGTGAAGGAATTCTGCAGCCTGAGGGGATCTGGGACAGAGTCCCAAACCAGTGAATCCCAGTTCACATCCACCACACCCAGCAAAAATCCATCCTGCCTCCTGCAAAAGTAGGAATGGCATCTGGGAATTGGGCTGTGAGGGCAACAGTTAATTAGCAACAAACAAAAAAGAAAATGCTAAAAAAATAAGCGGCATCGGATCCACATCTTCAAGGAGAGTATAAAATGTGGGAGAGGGATAACCCCACGTTCTCCAGCTGCTGGAATTCAGGTCAGCGTGGGTGACCCAGCAGTCCCCTTCAAACCCCTTCACAGAGCCAAGCCTGGAGCCTGGAAATGGGTGTGAGGAGGGATTAAAAACACGCCACTGGTGACGTGTCCCACTGCTCCGGATTCCAGAGGCATCTGGCCACGCTCTGGCCACACAACACAGAATCTCCCAGGATATCTTGAGCTGGAAGGGACCCACGGGATGAAGTGCTGAGTGAACTGGAGTGGGAGCAGCTGTCAGAGCAGTCACTGGTAGGGAGGAGAAACGCAGGGATCCCTGGAGGGATTGAGCCCCGTTCCAGGGTGGGATTTTAGAGGAGCAGCAGAAGGTTACCTGCTTGGCATGGGGAATGTCAGCGGGCTGGCACTGCTGGCAGGGGTGGCACTGCTTCCCAGACTTCTGTGGGACAGGGATTGCATTGTCTCAGCAGGACTCCTACGGGGCAGGTAAAGGGGGTTGGTAACAAGGGGCCACAGTGATCCCCAGCCACTGCTCCTCAGCTCAGCCCAAGCTCTTCCTTAGCACAAAATCACATTAAACACTGTCCTGCAGCACATCTGTGCTCTGCAGAGCAGAGGCACATTCTGTTTATTCATAATATTGACCCCATGCCCCAAAAAACCCACCAAAACCGGACAGTTTGGGGATAGAAGCCTCTGGAAGAAAGGGAGACCTGCCCTCCTTCACTAGTTTGATCCCACAGGAGGGGAGCAGGGGCCTGCCCCTGGATGGACTCTGCCAATAGTGGAAGCTGCAAACACTAATCCCACCGTTTTCTTCCCCAAAATACACCCTCCAGCCTGTATTCCTGGGAATTCCAGCTGGGATTCCTGGACCAAGAGCTCTGCTTTGGGGCTTTGCTGGGAAGAGAGGGGACAGAAACTGCCACCAGCACTGGGAGGGAAAGGAGCAGGATGCAGGAAGGGAGAGGGGAGCTGTGAGACATATCCCAGGTGGGAGAGGCTCCCAGGACAGCAGTGGGAAGAGGAAGAGCCCCAGCAGTGGCAGCAGACCAGCAGTGGGTAACACTGACACGGTTTAGCAAAATATACACTGAAAAAGGCACCAGTGAAATGATTTGGGCATATCACAGCCTGAGACATCTGGGGACAATTTAAGGTGGCAGTGCCAGCTCCTCTGGGGGCAGGATTTATGCTTGGAAGCACAGAAGCTGAGATAATCTCCATTTCAGGGCAGCCTGAACTCCATGTGAAACAAGCTTCAGGCACAGCTCCTCATCCCCCCTCAGCCCCCTCCAACCCCTGTGCTCGGTTCCTTGGTGAGTCACCACCCACCCCTCTGACTTTTCCTTTTTCCTTTTCCCTTCCTAGGAATGCACAGATTGAACCTGCCATGAGACTCCAGCACAGTCAGCAGGGAATTCTGTCCAGCAGTCCCCCAGCACCTCCAGCTGCTCCCTCGTGTTGCTTTAACTCCAATTGCTCCACGCTCCGAATCCAACCCTCACCACCCATTCCCATCCCTCCTGACCACCCCACATTTTTAGGGATGTAAAGGGCTGCATCCAACAGGAGCACCAAGGAGATGTGGTGGAATGACACAGCTCAGGTATCCATCTGCAGCTGAGGAAGCCCAGAGGCGACCAGCTCTTTTCACTTGGGAGTTTCTCCATGAAATAAAAATAGCTAAAAATACCACAGGAATTTGAAAAAACCCCAAACCTACTCCTGGCTAACACAGAGATGGATGTCTTCTGTCTTCCCCAAAGCAGGGAAGCAGAGAGGAATGTGCCTTTCACACCACCAGCACCCCCCTCACAGCACAAATGCAAGGGAGGAAAAGGGTTTTCTTGTTCCTGTGGAAGAGGGAGGTCACACAGACCCCAAATCCCAGGAGTGAAACATGGATCACGTTCCAAGGTGCAGGAAATCCCAGTTTTCAGTTTCTGTTCAGGGTGCTGGGTAAGAAAATGCAGCCAATTTATGCCTTTTCATCCCACAGTACGTGGGTCAGGAATCAACATTAATCCCATCACTGCGAGGCCCTAAATAAAGCCAATCTCCTCCAGAAATGCTGAGCAGCTTTAGAACCACAACAGTATTTTAGACAACTTTAACATATTAAGAGTCTTAGACTGAATGCAAGATTCCTGCAGGGCCCCCCTCCCCGAGGCAGGGAGGCCAAGCAAGTTCCACTCCTGAAAAAAGGCTGGAACAGGAATTCTGCTGACATTCAATATCAGTCGGTTCTGCGTCTGGAAGTCATTTTGCTGGAGTTGTGCTGGCTCTGTGTGTGTGTGTTACATCTTTGGCCCAGATTGAAATTCCAAAGCACAGCAGCCTCTCCAACACGACATCCCCGAAGGGTGCCACAGCAGTAGGAAATTCCAAGCGATCCAGAGCAGTTTGGGGTCATCCAGGCAAAAAAAGGCTTGACCTGAAACCACCTAAAGATCACCTAAACCCACCATTTTGCCTCGGATTCTTCCTCATCCTGAGTCGGGACTAACAGTGAACGCTCCCAAAGGACAGTGATTTTTAAAACACTCAAAGCAAGCACGAAACATCTGGAGCTGTTCCAGTTTTAAGCCTCACAAAGCTGCAGTCTGCTATCAGCAATTTTTAAATTAATGACAAAAAAAACCCCAAACAACAAACCCACCCTCATAAATCCTTGTTCTGCCGCTCAAGTGAACGAGGCTTTGCTAAAGTGGGCTGAGGACGCTGTTCTTTTGTTTGGGAATCACCAAACTCCTTGGATTTCCTTTGACTGGAAGGCATCACCACCGAGCATCAGCTGGCTCGAGGGGTTTATTAATCGAAACCATTAAACTGATGGAAAAAATCGGATTAGAAAACTAATTTATTTAGATCAAGATGTTGGCGGGTGACGCCGAGTTTACCCGCGACGATCCCCCCTGGTCGTTTGCACAGTGGGAGAAAGCAACTCCTAACAATTATTCCCTGCATTGAAGGAGCTAATAAAACCTCCAGCACTGCACCAAAACCATGCATTTTTAAACCTTAGGGGGGAAAAAAATTAAATAATTTAAAAGCAGAATGATAAATACCCAGAGATTAAACCCTTGCTCTGGGTGCCTCCCAGCTCCCCTCCCTGCACGTAAAGCAGTGAGGGGGGGGCAGATTTTTTAACCCATTCCCATTTTTAAGCTGACTCCGGGGTCTGGAGGCAGCTGAATCGGCTGGATGGAGGCCCCGGAGGCGGGTGCAGCAGCTGCACCGGGGAGATCCAGGGAAATCCAAGCTGCCAGGCGATTGGACAGCGGGATGGGGAAGGAGAAGGCTCGGCTGGGCACAGAACAAAGACTGCCATTTCCAGGCCCTCCTCGGGCTCGGCAGAAGCACCGGAACGAGCTCTCACACACATTTCCAGAAGGGAAAAAACCACGGAGATGGTAAATCGTGGCTCGCCGGGACTCCAGCGGTTGCTACGTGGGAACCCCCCGGGGTTTGTGGTCCTTTGTGGTCCCTCTCTCCCCAGGGATCAAAGGGCTGCCCTGATTTTGGCTGGGACAGAGCTCATTTTCCTCTCAGCAGCTGGAAAAGTGCTGTTTTTTTAGGATTTACGTGAGAATTTGGGGATTTATATGAGAATTCCATCGCTACCACCCTGACGTTTGGGTTGTTCCTGAGCACCATTTACCCCAAGACTCCTCCGAGTCTCCTGCTCTGCCAGCGAGGAGATGCACCAAAAACCGGCCAGGACAGGTGATCCGAGCTGTCCAAGGGGATATTCCACCCACAGACTGTCATTCCCAGTATTCAAACTGGAAGAAGTCACCTGGAAGGGGCTCAGGGTGATCAGTTAGTGGGCGGTGAGCAACTGGGCACCAGCTCTACTCCCTCTCCTTACCGTCACAATTATCATCATTATCAGCACATTTAGCACTATTATTACATTTTATTCTAATCATTAAACGGTTACCTCAACCCACGGGGTTCTCTTTACAATTGTCCTTCTGCCTGGCTGGGGTTACACCACCACAAGGGCTAATATAACACAGTATAGTATAATATAATATAGTAAAATATAGTATAATAAAATACAGTATAATATCATATAGTATAATGCAATATAGTATAGTATAGTATGACCCAGTATAGTATAATATGATAAAGTATAATATGGCATAGCATAATACGTTATATTACAATATAAGCGTCAATATAACACATACAAAACTTCTGGGGCTGCGTTTCGATCCGGGCTGGATTAGGCTGAAATTAAACAGCGAAATACCCAATTTTATCGAATTTTCACCCCGGGGGGGGGGGTCGCACCTCGCACCGGAGCCCGAACTGCCCCGTCCCCCCCCACCCCCGGGGGGTGCCGGTACCTGCGGTGAGGAGCTGCATGGCGTGCGTGAAGGACGGGTCCAGGCTGTCCTTCTCCGCCATCAGCTCGGGCAGGTACCTGTTCTCGGGTTCCATCTTCCCGGCGGCTCCGGACGGCGGCGGGGCGGGCGCGCCGCCGCCAGAGCCCCCCGAGGCACCGCCGCCGCCGGCCGCGGGGGGAGGCGGCCGCGCCCCACTGGCGGCCCCGCTGGTGGCCCCGCTGGCGGCCCCGCTGGCGGCCCCGCGGGCCCCTGTGCAGAGGCACTGGCGGCGCGACGGCACGGCGCGGCCAGCGAGGCTTTTCCCCCGGGACGGGCGGCCCGCGGGGTCGTCGCGGCGCTGCATGAGGGGGGCGCGGGGGCGGCGGGGGGGACACAGCGCGGGCACCGGAGCGGCCGCGCCGCGCCGGGGCCGGAAGTGCCGCGCCGGAAGCTCCGCCCCCTTTTTTTGGTGAGGGAGGGGGTGGTGTCCCAGCGCGCGACCACCCCGCGCATGCGCAGAGAACGGGCTCCCTCACAGCACAGGCCCCCCCTCACAGCACAGGCCCCCCTCAGACGCACCCCGCACGGAATCGCGCGATCAACCAGGTTGGAAAAGACCTCTGAGATCATCCACAGTCCAACCTGTGAGCCAACCCCACCTTGTCACCCAGACCGTGTCACTGAGTGCCACATCCAGTCTCCTCTTAAACACCTCCAGGTACGCTGACTCCGCCACCTCGCTGGGCAGCCCATCCCAATGTCTGATCGCTCCCTGTGTGAAGAATTTCTTCCTGATATCCAACCTGACCCTCCTCTGGCACAGCTTGAGGCCATTCCCTCTCCTCCTGTCCCTTGTTCCCTGGGAGGATGGAATCATGGAGCCATGGAATAATGGGATTGTGGGGTTATCGGTGTTGGAAGAGACTTTCAGGGTCATCCTATCCAGCCCCAAAACCCACCGCTGCCACTTTAAAATCCCTAAACCACTAAACCACATCAGCTTCCAGGGGTGGTGACTCCACCACCTCCCTGCGCAGCCCCTTCCAGTGCAGGACAGACTGAATGGTGAAAGGATTTCTGCTGATATCTGACGTGAATCTCCCTGACCACTCCAATGATGAAAGGATTTTTGCTGATATCTAATCTGAATCTCCCCTGTCTCACCCCGAGGCCATTTCCTCAGCTCCTCTCACTGAGCTCACTCTTCTCACTCACGGTGGTAGAAGAGACTGGCCCCCACCTCACTGCACCCTCCTTTCAGGGAGTTGTAGAGAGTGCTGAGTCCTCCTTTGAGTCTCCTCTTCTCCAGACTAACCAAATCCGGCTGTCCAGGAGCCTCACTGAGGTGAAGCCTCACCGATGCCGAGCACACAGAGCCATAAAAATTGTGAGAGGGGCGATGACAGGGTTGGGACGGGCGGCGGGACTCGAACCCGCGGTGTTTCCTCCTCGTGCGCATGCGCAATTGCAACAAGCACCCCCCCCCCCCCAGGCGCGACATTAGTCTCGGCCCGCTGCGAAAATGTGCCTCGGCGGACTCATTGCGCCTGCGCAGAGCGCCGCGCCTCGCAGGTGCTGCGCGTGCGCACTCGGTGTCCCCGCCATGCGGCGGCGATGAGGGGCTGTGAAGGGGGGGTCGGGTCGTGGTCTGAGAGGGTCGCAGGGACCGGAGACCCCCCGCCCGGGGCACGGGGAGCTGAGAGCACGGCCTGCCCGGGCCACAGGGCTGCTCTAAGGGGCAGGTCTTGGCGGGGTGTGCGTGGGAGATCAGCCTGTCTTTGCTGCCGTCGTAGCCCTGAGGGACAGGCCGTGGTAGTGCCCGTGTGGAAGCTCCCGGCCCAGATCCAGGTCCCGGTCTCAGGGAAGCGGAACCCGTGGGAAGCCCCGGGCGGGCTGTACCACTGCCGCCATGCGGGGAGGGGGGGGGGGGCAGCTGCTGGCGTGGAAAGCTCCGCGTGCACGTGCGGCCGCAGGGACAGTCCAAGTGCGGGCAGCGGCGGGGGGGCGCCGGGCCGTACCAAGGCAGGGCTGGGGACGCTCGGTGCCCGCTCAGGGCAGGGCGAGCCGCCCCCGGGCCGTACCAACACCCGAGATGGGGGGGTGTGTGGGGGTGTGAAGCGGGCTGTACCACGGGCTATAACGGAAGAGGGGGATGTTATAGGAGAGCAGAGACACCTCACACTAGAGCAGGTCGCTGAAGGGTTTTAACACTGTCAGGGCTGGGGCATCCACAGTCTCGCTGAGCAACCAGTGCCTCACCACCCTCACAGGTAGCAGCGTCTTGTTAATATCAAACTTAAACTTCCCATCTATTTTTACCCATTGCTCCTTGTCCCTGTCACTCCAATTTCCGAAGGGAGTGCCCCTGCGGCTTCCCTGGAGGCCCCTTCAGACCCTGCGAGGTCTCCACGCAACCCTTCCTCCTCCACCTCCGCATCCTTTTCCCCCCCCCCCCCCAACCGCGCCGGGAGTGGTCGCGCCCATCGCGCTGCCCCCGGGGCGGACCGTACCACTGGCCGGGCCCGCCGGGGGGGGGGAAGGGGCGGGCCGTACCACGGGGGCGCGGGCGGCGGGGGGGGCGCGGCCTGTGCGCTCGGAGCCGTGTGGCGGCGCGCGGGCTCTCGGTGTCTCCGGCCGGACCGGGCCCAGCGCTGCCCCAGCCCCGACCCCGGCCCCGGCACACCCCGCCCGGCCCCCGGCCCGCTCAATGCCCAGGGTGAGGGGGCGACCGGGGAGGGGAGGAGGAAGGAAGTTAAGGAGGGAAAGAGGGGGGAGCCGCCGCCCCGCGAGCCGGGGGAAAGCGGAGGGGTGGGGGGGGCGGTTGCTCAGGAGGTTTTGAGGGGAGTCCCTGCTCTGGGAGGGCCTCCCTTAGGCCGCTGTGGGTGGTTGGGGGGGGTTGTTTTGTGCTGTGGGGTCTGTTTGCGGGAGGGGTTGGGGGGGTCTCGGAGGTCCACGAGGCTCTGGGCTGGGGGGCTGGTTTGGGGGGGCCTTGGGGGTCCACGAGGCCGTGTCGGGGCTGAAGGGCTGTTTTGGGTGGGTTTGGGGAGTCCACGAGGTTCTCTTCGGCTGTTTTGGGGGGGTTCTTGGGGGTCCACGAGGCGCTCTCTGGTTTGGGGGTCTTGGGAGTCCACGAGGTCCTGTCTGGGCCGAAGGGCTGTTTTGGGGAGTCCTTCCTGCCCTGGAGGAAATTCCAGGCCTGTGGGGCTTGTTTGGGGGATCTCCGGCCTCGGGGGGCTCCCTACCTATGAGGAGGAGGTTTAGGGGCTTTTCGTTGTCCGTGGGGGACCCTCCTCTGATTCGGGGCTGGTTTGGGGGTCCCCCGTGGCTGTGGGGACCCCCCAAGTCTGGCTTGGGACTGCAGCCCTTAACCTGCAGGGTTGGGGTGTCCCTTCTACCTGCAGGGCTGGTTTGGAGGGTCCCGACTCACCTGTGGGGTTTGTGTGGGTCCCCCCTCAGGTGGGACGAGAGAACCCCAAGGGGATGGTTTAGGGGAGAGAGGACAAGTCCCCCTCATACGTGTTTTTTGGGGGGTGTTCCGGATGGGAGGGCATTTCCTGTGGGATTGGAGCAGTGGGAGGACAAGGAGACTGCAGAGGGGTCGGTGTGGGTGAAGGTGGGGGGGTTGGAGGGGTGTGTTTGAGGGAAGGGGGGGGTTTGTGTGGACGGGGGAAGACTTTGAGAAAAGCTGGTGGGTTGGTTTTTTTTTTTTTGAGGGGGGGGAGGAAGAGGATCTCGCCTTGTGTAAAAACCTGGAGATGGTCTGTAAAACGAGGAGTTTTTTTTCCTGTGGTGAGAAAACGGAGGGGGAAGAGCTGGGAGAAATTAGTGGGGGGGATATTTCTCAGGCTGGGGGGGGCCATGTGGGGCGGGAAAGGAAGGGTGTCCAGGATGTGGTGGTTTTCCTGGGGTTTGAGTGGGGGCAGGGCTGCGAACGCCCGGGCCGGTTTGTCAGGATAAAGGGCTGCCCTGTGGGATTTGGGGCTGGAAGAGGGGGGGAGCCGATGAATTCTGGCACAGGCAGCGCCTGGAGAAAGTCCTGGTGTGGCCGAGGGTGCTCTGAGAGTGACCTGCAGGAAGGGCTGAGTCAGGGAGGGGTGGATTTATTGGGAATGTCAGCTCGGGGCGTGCTGTGGTGGGCGAGGAGCCCTGACACCGAGAGCTGAGGTTTGGGCTTTGGAGCACAGGTGAGGCCGTGGGCTGGGAGGGGTTTGGGGCAGGGATGGGGGTGGAAGTGGCCTCGCTCCTGGTGGTTCCTGGGTGTGATTAGTCACGACCTGTGTTCTCTCTCGGGGCAGCCTGAGCTCGCTGGTTTCGGGGCGAGGAGGAGGAGGAGGAAGGCACAAAGTTGGCTTTTAGAGGCTCCTGTATAAATGGAAACTCGCCTCGAAACTCCCCGAACGAACCAGGCAGGGTCTGACTCAGAACTGCAGTTAGTACTTAAAGGAGAGAAAAAAAGAGAAACCCACCAGTAGCAGCAGCCAGAAAACTCTATCTCCTTATGACTCAACGTGTAGAAATACTTGGATTTAATCAACTCAGCTGCTGGAGAGGAAAGATCAGTCGGAGTTAAGGTAGGAGTGGGGATGCACAGCCAGGAATGGGGGTCTCACACAGGCTCTAGTTGTGATGTTTTTATGTACATCTCTCACAAACTTCAGGGATTCACTTCAGGTTTAATTCCCTGCAGGTATCCACCCCTCTCTTCCACACAGAACGTTTTCCTGTCTCGGGGCAGAGCTGAGCTGTGCTCACAGGGCTTCCCTGGCTCCTGCCTGGACTTTGCCCCCCTGGAATGCCGTGTCAGTCGCCTGTGGTGAGGCCTGGGAGGGAGAGCCGGGTGATTCATGGCTCGTGGAAAGGCTGCTCGCTTTTAGGAGGATGATCCACACCTGGAAAGGGAGGCCTTGAGATGGTGTAGGGCCAGCAAGGGGCTTTTTACAAAAGCATGGAGTGACTGGACACAGGGAATGGTTTCCCACTGCCAGAGGGCAGGGTTAGACGGGATATTGGGAAGGAATTCCTCCCTGGGAGGGTGGGCAGGCCCTGGCACAGGTTGCCCAGAGAAGCTGTGGCTGCCCCTGGATCCCTGGAAGTGTCCAAGGCCAGGTTGGAGCAACCTGGGCTAGTGGAAGGTGTCCCTGCCCATGCCAGGGGATGGAACTGGATGAGCTTTTCCAACCCAAACCACTGTGGGATTCTGTGATTCGAAATGGTTTATTGTAGGTTGTGTATTTTGACAATATTTCTGGAGGGAAAACACGTTGTCAGTGATGTGCTGTTCCCGCACCAGCAGAGAGGAGCTCGGTGTTGTTTGGTATCTTTGGATTAGTTGGACAGCTGGAGGTTTAAAACAGCTCTGTGTAAACATTGGAAAACAGCCCTGATGGCTCGAGGGTTTGG